ACACGTGATGGGCGGTACATTATTATGTGTATCTGGGGCACGAGAAGAGTAAAATGAGAAAAGTGCTGCAATGTCATTTGGTATCAAGATCCAATTTTTCATGAACATTAAAAATTTGAACATTTAGTACGTAAATTCTGTAAGTAGATTGTATTTCCACTTCGAGAGAAAGACAGAAAGGGACAATTCGTTCTGCTCCACAAAAAGTAAAAACAAGCTTTTGTCCACAGCTGAACACATTCGTTTCCATTTTTGAAAAGTGCAACATCAGCTAGAGCGTATAACCGGTTTGTCGCTATAACTATTATGTGAGGCATCGTGGTGAAATCAGGCGCTATTTTTACTACAATCACCAGGCGATCCCCACCTCCTTTTAGTCTCGAACATCTCGGCTTCTGTTCAGGAAAGATGGATACTTTTTTTTCCAATAATAAGGCACAAAAAAAAGAACAAACAAGCTTTAGGATGATACAAAGAACTCAATATGCCCCAAAAATGACGAACACCTGGTTCTACCGTACTGGGATACACTTTATTTTTTAGAGTATTTGCAAAGCGTATTTTACCAGCCTCTGTGTTGTAGCGGCAAAGCGCTTTGCTGCCGCACGCACCGGATGTGAGTTCGATTCCCTTGTGGGGAGGTGTTTTATTGTCTGTCTGCTGGAATGCTGTGAACCTGTCAGCCCAGGTTGGTCCAGAAAAGCAGGGTCCACTCAGCCCTCCTCTAAATGATCTGAATTGTCGTTAATAGGGGACGTAAAACACTAACAATTTCAATTACAATGTGTACCTTTTCTCACGATGAAAGACTTAAAAGCTTCCCGCATGGTGTCCACCGCAGTTGCCTGGCAGATGGACTGGATCAGATCGTCTGCTACTTCAATCTCCAGGAACTTTGCAATGCGCTTAATCTCCCTGGGCAGGTCCTCAGAGGAAAAGAAATAAATGAAAACTAAAAAAAACGTGTTGATTGAAATTTTGTTCTTTTGTTTTTGTCTGAATCTTAAGTCCTACTTATATAGACGGAGAAAGACTATTTATTTAAAAGTAGGGTGCTGTTGTCTTAATATTAATACATGTATCGATATATCTTAGACCAGGCACCATCATGACCATTGGTCTTTGCTTTCTACCGAAACTTCGTTGCGCCTGTGAGCACCATGGATACGCTTCCGCTTATATGAAGAGCAAAACAGCAGTCTTGTTGTAGTCGAGGGGGCGCGCAACCTATCTTTTCTTACCCTTCGAATGGTTTCAGACATAATTTTAAAATGCTGTGCTCAATGGTGAACTGGTATTGTCACGTCAGTATGCACAGTCTTGGATATTATATATGTGATGCAGCGTGGTGGAATCAGGCTCTCGTCAAAATAATCAAAGTAAAGAAACTTGAATTTTTTTCCAGAGGTTTGTGAATTTTTTTCAAATTTTTGTTTTTAGGCTCAACACCTTTCATGCCCATTAAAAAACTCATTTCAGTATGACTTTTTCTGAAAAGCGTTGATTAAAAGCATAAAAATGTACATTTTCAGCTACCACGGACTCTTAAGCTGAGGAAATAACTAATCTTTGGCGGCCATTTTCTCACTAATTTTACCTCTGAAAACAGGTGACCCCCACCCCCTTCATTTTCAAATATCTCGTCTTGTATTCAAGATAAATGGACATTTTTTCACCCAAATAAAGACAAATGAACAAGCTTTAAGATGATACCAATAACTCTACATGCCCAAAAACTGACGAGAGCCTGATTCCACCACGCTGCCTCACATATAAGTAAAATGGGGGAATTCCACACCATACTTTTCAATTGGATTGTAAGACAAGTGTTACAGAAGCTACTTTTACGTAGAAAGAGGACACATCCTCCTCAACAGTTTTACTTTGGGTCTGATAAGTTAGGAAACAAAACATATAAATTCTACGACATCACCATCCCCATACTTCCATTTTTCAACATAATTAAACATCTAATATTGCTGGGCAATTCTACACCCACATGAGCACACATTCCAAAATGAAAATAAAAAGACAGACGTACAAGAAATTAAAGCTGAATTGAAAAATAAAATATGGCAGACTGAAGCAAATGATTAAAGCTGAATGTCAAACAGATTTCTGTTGGTTCTAAAGGTTGTAAGTGGGGGTATGGAATTACCCCAGGTGTGGAATTCCCCCATCTTCCCATACTCGTATGGGTGGAGGTGAACAGGGATGATGAGAGCGCAACAGTGTGTGGTGTCATGATCGTGGTTGGTATTGAGATGTTGTGGGATGACTATGAATAGGGAATGTGACGAAACTTATTGTGATGGTGATGAGGGTGAGACTACTAGGGAGATTTGAACAAGGTGTTGGTAATTTTTAATTTTTAAAAAAGTTGGGTTTCTTTTTTTCGGGGAGGGGGG